GAGTTTGCTGGTATGACTTTGCTGGTTTATGTCGTTCATTTTTATAGAGTTATATTTCTTCATTATATAAACAAGCTCATGTGTATTCTGCCATTATGTGAATTCTTCTTTTATTATATTGTAACAGGCAAATGCTTAGTATGAGTTTATCGGGAAGTTTATCATCAGATCTTGGTTGCTTATCTTATAAGAACATATTGTAAGTTTGTTATTTTATTTGACATGTTTTTCTGTTTTATGAGGGGTTTGCTTGGAACCAGGAAATTACCAGAGAAAGAATTAGAAGGGAAACTTAAGGGAGAACTTGAAAGAAAGAAGATCTTGTGGAAAACGAAGAATAAAATAAAATTGGTTGACCTTTCCTAATTAATTTATTTATTGATTTATACTATGTAAAGACTAAGAAGTATAAGTATATGAAAGAATATTAGTAAAACTAATATTCTAGGGGATGAAGACTGAAAAAGAAGGCTAATTTGATACTTTGATATAAAATGGTTTTTTATACTATAAATTTGTAATACCTTGCTGTGTAATTTGATTTACAATATAAGGAACATTTTGCAAAAATGAGAAGCCGTAGATGCCACCATTTAACCTTCAAGTAATTAAAGCCATGTACTCCCTCCGTCCCAATTTGTTTTGCAAAGTCAACATTTTTGGTCAACCAATAATAAAAGTCAACCCTCCTTAATGATAATTAATTCAATTTTTAATAATTAAAATTTATATATTCAAAAACTACATTAAAATCTCTTCAAAGTTGTAAACTCCAAATTAGAAAATAATTAAAAATTGACATCCTTATTAAGTGAACAAAACGAGACTGTTTGACTAAGAAAAGTCAAATTTGCAACTCTTTTTGGGACGGAGGTAGTATATTTTTTCCCTAATTTTGATTTTTGACCACTCTATTTCAACAGGAAGCCATTCACTTCCATTCACAACTGGAGAGGGAAAAGCTAGAAGAAAAGAAAGGCTCCTGAAGTTGCATTGAGCTGGTCTGGTTTTGCCGACCTTTATAAAGAATTTAATAGGGAACTGATTTTAGTTTACATTTTACTAGACAAAGTACCAGTGCGATGCACGGGGTACATCTAGAGTGGAATAATAACTTGTTTGAAATTGCATTCTATTATGGAGAATGATAATGGTATGTAATGAGCAATAATTTTCTAAATAAAAAGGGGAAAGAGGCCAATTATCACTTAAATCCTTATACTTTTTTTTTACTCCAGGGGGTCTGGGGGGGGGGGGGGGGGGCTTAAGGGCCTAGAGTGCCTAGCGGGTTTCGAACTCGAGGCCTTTCGCTAGACACGGTAACCTCGCAGCCAGCTGAGCTGGAATGCTTGGTTACTTAAATCCTTATACTAAAAAAATATTTCTTCCGTCCCACTAAAATTGTCTCATTTTACCTTTTCAAAAAATCCCACTAATATTGTCTCATATCAAATTTGATAAAGATTATGTGGTTCTGAATCATATTTACTTTATTCTTACTTTATCACCCTTCTTGTCTCATATTTACTTTTGTTAATAATTGTGTCACCCTTCCTGTCCTAATGTTAGTGAAGGAATGTAGTACTACGTATCATATAAATATGCTTACATTAAAAAAATGATCAATCTAGCATTTAACAGATTTCTGACCTGTAATAGCGTGTTTTTATATTAAAAACTTGTTAGCATTTGAAGAACTATAAATAAAAGTTGTGTACATTTTAAGAATGTGAAAAATATTTTTTTTTTGAATTTTTGGAACTATTTGTATGTTCTACATCTTTTTAAAATTTATTTTTTTAAATTTTTTAGTTCTTACACTTTGACGGTACTTTTTCCCTTTTTCTATTGTTTAGTTTAACTTGTTTAAATTACCTATCTGGTTTTGAAATAATACTGTTTTTATATCATTCCTACAATGTTTTTCAAACTTATATTGATTTTTTATATGATTAATCAATTATTTTATCTTTTTAATAGCCTACTAAAGCAAGTTAAAATTCTTTGATTGATTGTATTTTAAAAGTAAACATACTAATATATAACAGGAAATTGCTTTAAATAGGAATAACAAAGTTTTTGAATTCCAAAAAGAAAAAAATTGTTGAATTAAAAGAATGTCATATTTTTGTTCCTTAAATAGTAGGAACTCCTACTGCCATGTTTTGGCATTATTAGATTTTAAGAGTCTTTTGGTCACTCGTATTTTCGGCTTATCATTTTTATCAACTAACTTTTTAACCAAACACATAACTTTTCATTTCGCATGCTGAATTGTGTAATAACCAGGATAAGTAATATTAGAGCTATTTTTCTTCCTCAATGGGCTGAAATTAATGTAGAGGGTGGTTTTTTCCATTTTCATATAACTTTTTCTTGTTTCATTAGTCAAAAATATTTTAAATATAATCTTTTCGTATTTCTGTAGATTCAACCAACTCAGCCATTTCAGTTAGAACCTTATCAATTTTTCATGACCAGAGCGCCGTCCAGCCACCTCGTTTTGACTTTTGAGGTGGTTCATAATGCTATTTTTTGTTAAATGTTTTCGAGCATGTTCCACCTGAAGTGTAGATGATGTCCACAAAAATTTGAGCAAAAAATTCAACCAGAAAGACAATCAAATAATTTTTTGGAAAATAAGTGCATTTTTTTGTATGTATATTTGGCAATATGTAATGTTATATATGTAACCAATATATGTATATAGTAGGAGTAAACATGTATATGGAAATATTAATTAATAATAATTCATTATTTGATAGTATGCAATGTTGTATATATATATATATATATAGACAACTTTTCATGTCCAGCCGGCCTGACGGGAACCGCCGTCCGGCCGAGGGCATTTCGGGCACTTCCCGATGGAATTTTTTGATGAATTTTTTTTAGCATGTTCTTCATGAAGTCTAGTTTATCCATACCAAATTTCAGCTCAAAATTCGATCGGGAAGGTCGTCAAATGATTTTTGCAAGTTAACTGGTCCGGAAAATACATATTCCGGACCAGTTAACTTGCAAAAATCATTTGACAACCTTCCCGATCGAATTTTGAGCTGAAATTTGGTATGGACAAACTAGACTTGAGGAGGAACATGCTCAAAAAAGTTCATCAAAAAATTCCACCGGGAAGGTGCCCAAATGGGCTCGGCCGGACGGGGCAGCCCGTCAGGCCGGCCTGACATGAAGAGCACTCTATATATATATATGGTAAATAGAAGATGTTGACGTACACTTTAAAAAAAATGTTGACGTACACCTTCACATTGTCATAAACATGTGACACATGGTCAATAAATTATGACACATATGTCCTCCGTATATAACTGTGAAGTTAGTTTTGTTTATTTCCAAAAATAGTGTATGAAAAACATGTAAGAAGTGTTAATGTGTATGCATGATGCATACCGTATTTTCTAATTTTGTAAAAAATGCTCAAACCTTACCATATTTTCAATCTTTCAATGATGCAATATTTGGCCAACCGAGATTTCATTTTTATTCACATTGATTTCTCGTTATGCATTTAATTAATTTGGACGGGAATTTTCCCTCCAATAATTATAGTAAGACTGTTACTTTATATTATATAAAGATTAGTATTTTAATTTGTTGTTTTCTCATACAATGAGTTGCATCACAAGTGTTGGGAAAGTTAATATCAAGGCAAGAAGATTCTTATTAAATCTTTAGTTGTTATTTGTAGAAGTACGATGTATATTATTACTCTATAGTAGATTGGCTGAGTTGGCACTTATTTAATATGGAAAATCATTGCTATCATCTTGTCAGTAGACTTTTTGTTAGACGTGTACTAAGGGAGTGTTTGCAACTGCTTCTGCTTAAAAAAAAGCACTTTTGGAGAAGTAATGAAAAAGTGATTGATAGTAAAAGTTGATAGTGTTTGAGAAAAAAGTGATTTTGAAAAGTAAAAGTGGGTAGTGTTTGGTAAAATAAGTGCTTTTTGTGTAATAGAAAAGGGAAAAACACTTTTCACACGCAAGCCGAGAAAAAGTAAAAATTGGTAGTGTTTGGTAAATAAGTGCTTTTTAAAGCCAAAAGCTGAGAAGTGCTTTTTTTTAAGCAGTTGCAAACACTCCCTAATACGGTTGTATGTTAGTCGCAGCAATACGTATTTTTTAATACTTCTTCCGTTCTTAAATAAATGCAACGGTCAACATTTCACACTTGCCGAGACACAATTTTGACCAATAATATAAATGATTTTGTATTAGTAAAAAAATTAAAAAAAATTAGATTATGAAAATTTACAATGAGACAAGTTTAACAATATTTTTTCATAAAATAATATTATTACATTAATAAATAAAACGTAGTCAAAGTAGAACATGTGAATAGTGTAAAAGTCAAAGTGTTGCATTTATTTAAGAACGGAGGTAGTAAAATTTTTACTACTATTTGCTGCGGTTGTAAACCGCAGCAATTAACTTTGTTCACTTTTTGCTGCTTCCGCAATTGCTGCGGTTCAAAACCGTAGCAAATAGCCTAAAATGACCGCAGCAAATAACTATTTTTCCAGTAGTACTTACCTCCGTCCCATTTATATTGTCCCGGAAGAGGGTGACACGGTTATTAAAAAAATGGTTTGTGTGGTTGATATTGATTGATAAAGTAACAATAAAGTAAAAATGATTTAGAGCCACACAAACTTTGCCAAATGTGGTATGGGATAATTTAAGTGGGATTTCCCGAAAAGGTAAAACGGGACAATATAAATGGGATGGAGGGAGTTGTAAATAATTAAATGTGAGTTGTGTAGTCGTATTTTATTTTACATCATCGTTTAGTTGGAAGGTACCATGTAATTTAATCATGCCTTAACGGAGGGTTAGAAATGTACACGATAAGAAAGACGTAAGACTCACGAACCAAGCATTTTTAGTAAAGGATTCCTATAAATCAGCCAAACCATTAATGAGGTATTTTCTAGTTAATAATTCTCTATAATTAGCTTTTCCCAAAAAAAAAACTATATAATTTATCATAGCAAAAGATTTTTTTCCCAAAAAATTAGAAACAGAAGAAAAATGTTGATCTTAGGAGAACCCAAACGATTTCGTGTATATATATTGATTAATTCAGTGATTCTTCTACCTTCTTATAACATTTCAATTCGTATTTGCATGTAATTATATGATGAAAATTTTCATTTCATTTGTACATTTGCATGTGCAGTTTATGGAGGCATTGGCCGCCGTCTTGATATGTGTGGGATCGTTAGGTGTTGCAATGGCTGCGGCGGCGGAAAGCGGAGACGCCCAAATAGTGAAAGAAAGATCTAATGGAATGGTGGAATATACGGCAATGAATTGCCGTAAACACAGCGCGGTTTTGACAGATTTTGGAGGCGTTGGAGACGGGAAAACGCTGAACACAAAGGCTTTTCAGGCCGCCGTCGCCAACCTGAGCAAATACGCAAAGGACGGTGGCGCCGAGCTTATTGTACCGCCCGGGAAATGGCTGACAGGTAGTTTCAGCCTTACTAGCCATTTCACCCTTTTTCTCCATAAGGATGCTACTATTCTTGCTTCTCAGGTAATTAATAACTTCTTTGTTTTCCGTTTGTTTTGCTTTCATTACATGTTTATATCTTGCTATTTTTTGAATATTAATGTAAAGTTAAGATCTTTGTACGAAGACTTTACTTATTTTACGCTATTAATTAATTGCATTTAATGAGGTAATATCCCAAAAAAGTCTTGTGAAATTGATTTTGGAAATACTGCATCCTTCCAAAACAATTATTCCGTATTACAAATAATTGTATACTACCATACGTATATTACAATGAAGTACTACGGATGTTTTCTTTTGGACTGAAATTTGCTGGTCTGGTCTGGTCTGGCAAACGTCTGGTCTCTGTGTATTTTATGACTAAGAAATTCAGGTCTGATCTGGTCTGGTCTGTTTAAGTCTGGTCTGGTCTGTTTAAGTCTGGTCTGGTCTGGTATGGGACTGAAAACAGTCCTAAAGAAAACATCCGTAGTACTTCATCATTTCTATTTTCTGTATGACATTCACTTTTACTCCTTTTTGTTTCAACCAACAAAATTTCATTCTATGCTCTATTTTTCAGTATCAATTTGTAATCATTTTCTGCTTTATATGTTTGCGGTTAAATAAATTTTTTAGTCTAATAGTATTATATGAATATGAAAATCTAAATTTATCCTTAATTACGTACTCTCGTAACCATTTTTCGCACATGTATTTGAATTTTATTTGTTGGTTTGTTAATTTTTTTAATGATTAAGTTAAATGTGCTTTGGTAAAATGTGAACTTTTATACGGAGTAGTTATTAATATAATCAAATGTTTCCTTCAACAAAAAAATATAATCAAATGCTACTTCCCGTCAAATTAAATTTTTAAGATGCAATCTCAAATCTTTATATCTTTATATGGTATTGAAGACAACTTATGTCATGATCTCACGTATCGCCTTTGAGGTCTGCGTGACCCATTTATCCAGGATTATATTGTTCTTAAAAAAAAGGTCAAATAAGTCCTTTATTATTTCAAATCTGTCACTTAAAAAGTACTATTTCCTCCGTCCCACTAACAATGGGACACGAAGGAGTGACACACAAATCTATAAAAATGGTTTATGTGGTTGATATTGAATTGATAAAGTAAGAACAAAGTAAGAATGATTTAAAGCCACACAAACTTTACCAAATAAGGTATGTGACAATCTTAGTGAGACGGACTGAAATGGTAAAATGAGACAATTTTAGCGGGACGGGGGTAGAATGTATCATATAAGTACGTTTACTTTAAAAAAAGATCAATTGGGCCATTTAAAACGGTCTATTCGACCCTTTTTCCTTATGATGTACTTACCTTCTTTGAGATGAAGAGTGTGTTGAATTGAAATACGAACTATTAAGCTGATATACGAAGTATAAGATTATGAATTAATCACTATGTGTATCCTTCTCAATTTTCATCTTCATTATTTTCTTCTTTATTCAATCCAAAAATACTACTTATCTATTAATTAATAAGTGTCAATTATGCACATTTTTATTGTTTTAAGAATTGCATCAATTCAAAAGGGGTGTAGTCTCGTTTGATAAAAGAGGATTTCGTCCTAAAACTTTAAATTGAAACACGACTTCTTGTGGAGGGATGGTCGGATGGATATATATTTGTGCACACTCATAAGTGATATGTATATATACATATTAAAATTCTAATTATGATATACGGACCATATACTAATATTGTTAACGTAATTATGTGGACAGAACGAAGCGGACTATCCTCTAACTGATCCATTACCATCCTTTGGAAGAGAAAAGGGGTTTCCTGATGGGAGGTTTTCTAGTCTCATCGTAGGATCAAACCTTGTTGATGTTGTAATTACTGGTAATAATTACATACGGTCTCCATTTCTATACTGTGCTTTAATTAATTGATCGATGCTTAAGATTAGTGAATGCATAATTAATTAATGCAAGATATGGACTTTCATTACCATCATCAGGTAATAATGGGACAATTGATGGACAAGGTAAAGTTTGGTGGGACAAATTTGAAGCTAAAAAACTCAAGGCACAACGTCCATTATTGATTGAGATTTTGCATGCTACTGACCTCCAAATCACTAACATTACCCTAATTAACTCTCCTATGTGGCATGTTCATCCCGTTTACAGCAGGTTTGTCAAGTTTTATAATAGAGAAATGTCATTTGTGCACGTTCGGTTACGTTGGGTTACACGCCCAAGTGTAATTGTCTGTGTACAGATAATTGATTTTAATTTTAATAAAGAGAAGTGTCTATAATCCCAAACTGTCTATGCACTAACAATTAATTTTTTGGGTCACAAACACTTCTATATACTAAAACTAAAATCAATAAATTTTGTAAAACAATTACACTTGAGCGTATAACAAGCGTGTACAAGTATCATTTCCTTTATAATACTACGTATATGGAGTAAAAATCATTACTATATCATATGGAGTCTACCCTAGTTTTTGTTTTACTTTGATAAAGTTAGGGGCAGTTCTGAGTCTTGCACTACGTGTCCGGACCCATTATCATGCGATTCATGCCTATCATTTAGAAGTTGTTCTGTTCGTCTTAATCTTATTACTTATTGCTTATTCTTATTTTACTCATATAAATCTTACACCGTTACAGATTTATTTTAACTCGTGAGCTTTTACAAAGTGCAGAAATGTGTTGGTCAAAGGAGTAACAATAATTGCTCCGGTTGAAGTTCCAAACACAGATGGAGTAAACCCAAGTATGTTTAATTTAATTTCTGTCTTCTATTTTATAGTAATCCTGATAATCTAATTGATTGGTATATAAGATGTTTTTAATTAGACTCTAACTTTTTGTCTAGATTTGGTTTGATTTTACTACAGAGTATCAAGTATTTTTAGATCTGACCTGATTTAATTTGATCTGATTTGGTCGATTTGATTTGATCTGAACAAGTCTGGTCTAATAGTTTTGTCTGAACAAGTCATGTCAAGTCTCATCTGGCGTGAGACATTGCACCACTTATACTTAGTATCTTATTTCAATTCATATTTTCTTTCCCAGATTCTTGCACAAACACAAAGATAGAAGATTGTTACATAGTATCAGGAGATGACTGTGTGGCCGTGAAGAGCGGGTGGGACCAGTACGGAATCAAGTACGGAATGCCCACAAAACAGCTCATCGTCCGAAGACTAACATGCATTTCCCCTAACAGTGCCATGATAGCCTTAGGAAGTGAAATGTCCGGCGGCCTCGAGGACATCAGAATCGAAGACGTCATGGCGTTCGACACCGAATCCGCCGTCAGAATCAAGACGGCGCCGGGAAGGGGAGGCTACGTGAAAGACATATACGTGAGGAACATGAAGCTAGACAACATGGGATACGTTTTCTGGGTCTCAGGTATAGGAAATGTAATTTGAGGGAATAATGGCTTGCCTTATCGGGTGTCAGACTTTTATTTATAATAAAACAGAGTTATGGAATATTACAAAATAATCCCTAATTATTTCATTATTATCAGGAAAGTACAAGACCCATCCCGATGATGGGTTTGACCCGAAAGCTCTTTCCAAGATCAAGAACATCAACTTCAGAGACGTCGTGGGAAAGAACGTGAACATGTCGGGATCTTTTGATGCCTTCCCGGACGACCGGTTTACCGGTTTCTGTCTATCAAATGTGACGTTGACTGTGAGTCAACACCCGAAAGAGCTGCAGTGGAACTGCACGGACGTTGAGGGAGTTTGGAGCGACGTTAGTCCTAAGCCATGCAGTTTGTTGCATGAAAAAGGCACGGCGAAGTGCACTTACCCAACGGATAAGCTGCCTATTGAGAGCGTTGACCTCAAAACGTGTGTAGTCAAGGGAGTTTCTTCCTCTTGATTGAGTTAAGTATTGTTGTAATAACTTGAAATTCATTTTTCTTTGGTAGGATAATGAATTGATGTACACCTACCTTTAAGGTCTTAGATAGAAGCAACCTCGATCTCCAATGTGCATTATATCAATATGCATGTGCATTGAGAGAGACGGATATGTATCAAATTAATGAGTAAATAAATTACCATTATGTTTGATTTGCTTTAATATTCTTAGTATTTGCTCCTACAAAATATTTAATGAATTTTTTTTAAATGTGAGTAAAGTATAAGTAAATTAAAATAATTGAATCACCATTGTTTCCTTTGTATACACTATGACATATTGACATATTCAATCTTACATGATAAAGTCATTATTTGTACATCGAATTAAATAAGTCCTATCACTGCAAGAAAGGAACTTTTAACTACAAATATTAGTGACGGTTTAAAAAAACTCTCATTAAAAGTTGTTTTACTAAAGTGTGTGAGACTTTATTAATTGGAGGAGTTGAGCACGCAATGACGGTTCAACTTGTGGAGAATTGCCCATGATCATAATATATGTCCGGTGCAAGTGTTTGCATGGCAGGGTGTGGGGAATACAGAAAAGCAACACATGGGAGTTGTTTAATTATTACATATTCATAAAAAGGCTTCCAGAATCCAGATACATTTGTCATACCCTAAACTCCATAGTCTTACAAAATTTACATTCAACAAAGACTCCAAGTTATCCATGATGTACACATGCATGCTCTTTGGCTTCTTCATGATATAAACCAAAATTCGAATTGTAAAACTAATGCTATAACATGTTGAAACACAAAACTATCATTCTATGTACTAATATAGGGTGACCTGTTTAAAAAGATTAAAAACACAAAATCACATTCCAAAAAGAACATGAAAGTAATAATTATTAACTAGGACTAAATTGGCTTTCTTTAAAATATCCTTCTTAAAACACTCATGTGGAGTCTTAGGACTTGAAACAATATCTTATTTTTTGTTTTCTTAGCTAAGCTTGAAAACAATACAACAATCCTTTTTTTCATTGTCTCTAGTAATCGGAAAAACTAGATTAAACAAAATCCCACACCATAACTAATATTCTAATGTTGTTAACTTTAAGTCAATTCACAAATTTTTTGTTCAGCTAGGTTTAAAACAGAAACATTTGAGTTTTTATAAAATACACCACTGAAAAAACTTTACAGCATACCTTATATCCAAGTCTTCCATTTTGCATATATGTTGAGTTATAAGATCTCATATTGCAGTTTCTTGGCACACAGGTGGGATAAAGGAATATAGAAGCGGATATCTGCGGCTCTTTGCATTTACTAAATCAAATATCAAACTCAAGGCAAGCATATTGAGCACACTTGTTTATGTCTTGTTCACAAGCAGGTTAACTAAGCAGCTCTTAGAAATTAAACTTGGCTTAGCCCAATAATTGGGTCCATTAGAAGTTAACTTATTGGGATATTAGTTGTATGAGAAATAATAAATTAGTTAGCCCATAAGTTAGAGTTAGTAAAGAAAGATCTAGAGTAGTCTTTAGTTAATGTACTTATTAAATAATTCTAGAATGTTCCTAAGCTAAAATTCTATAGAATATTGTAGAATCTTAAGGAAATAGGAGTGTCTAAAAGGATCCTATGAGACCTATAAATAAAGCACTCCTCACTCATTTGTAATACAAGCCAAAACTCCAAATCAATAAAAGTTCCAAGTTCTTCCAAAATCATCTCTCTCTAAAATCCTCTCTTCCACACACAATCACCTAAATACAATACTCATAAACTCCTTTCTTCCAACAAAGTAGTATCACAGCCACCAACTCTTTCGAGAAAGATGAATGCCAACGGCTTACTTCCCTTCCAATTTCTTCGTCTCACCAAAGATAACTACTCTAGTTGGTGCATTCGCATGAAAACTTTGCTAGGATCTCAAGATGCATGGGAGATTGTTGAGGAAGGTTATGAGGAACCTCAAGATGATGCTACTTCAAATCAATCCCAAAGGGATAGTCTCCAAAGGAGTAGGAGGAAGGATCAACAAGCTCTCACTCTCATATATCAATGCTTAGACGAGGCCATGTTCGAGAAGGTTGCAAATGCCACCACTTCTAAAGAAGCATGGGAAATACTTCAAGAAAATATTAGAGGTGAAGAGAATTCGTCTTCAAAATCTTAGAGGTGAGTTCGAACAACTTAAAATGAAATATTTGGAATCAATATCCGACTATTTCTCTAGAGTGTTAGGAATTGTAAATGAGATGAAGAGAAATGGGGAGGAACTAAAGGACATAACAGTGATTGAAAAAATCCTTCGCTCTCTCACCAAAGACTATGATTATATTGTGGTGGCGATAGAAGAGTCCAAGGATTTTGAGACCATGACCATTGATCAACTTATGGGCTCATTACAAGTCCATGAACAAAGAGTGGTGAGAAATAAATCTAATGAATCATTGGAGCATTCTCTTTACTCCAAACTCTCTTTTAAAGAAAGAGGGGAGAATAGAGGTGAAGAAAGAGGCCAACGAGGTCGTGGTTATGATCGAGGTCGTGGTGCACATGGAAGAGGTGGTCGAGGTGGTCGAGGTGGTCAATGTCGTGGTTATACAAACTTCAACAATGTAGAAAGAATTCAATATACACAAGCATCTAGAGGCCGTGAGAGAGGAAACAAACCACAAAGGTACAACAATAAGTATCAACTAATTAAGATGTCATAATTGCAATAAATATGGCCACTACTGTAACACCCCGGCCCCGCAGGGTCCGAGGTAGTTACTCCAACACACCCTCCAGACCACTAGTACTATCCTCACAAACCGCCACTAGCCTTTTACGCGCACTTTGTCCTCACTCGTGCGCGCCCTGAGAAACCGGTGGAGTACCCAAGGATTATGATCCTCAAAACTCATAGACTACGATATTGAAATAGGGACAAGGAGGAGTCCTATACACTCATAGATATATGGGTGGGTTGGGGTTTTTAGTCAAGAATATTGAGGTGATCCGTAGGTATATTGAAATAAGTTGGACTTAAGTTGTAAGGCCTCTAATTGTTAAGACGGTACCCTTAATAATTGGTATGGTGGTGACTTGGGCCAATACGTGTCTGTAACGTTCTTCCGTCAATTGACATTTATCGGAGTCTAATGACTCGTCCATATTTCTTTCAAAAATGGAGGGCAGGCGAATGGCAACCAGGAACAATCCGAGGGGACAGGCGCCGGTAGCATCCCAAAGGGGAAGCTGGGCTGCATCTCGGGGTTCAAGAGGAGGCCGTGGAAGCCGTGGAGGTCATAGGGCCCAAACTGTGAGCGACGGCCATGTTAGTTCGGTGTATGAAACCAACACCGAAGACTACGACTCTACATATGTTCCGGAAACGGAGCATGAGGAGACCCCATATGATGGGGGTGACACGTACACTGACGATGATGATGAAGAGAGTGATGCCAAGTTCGCCCAAATGGGCGAATTGCTTGAGTGGTGTCAAAAAGAGAAATTGAGGAGAGACCTTAGGCGCCAAGCAAGGCGTGGCTCTCGTGGTGGTTCGGGTCAAGGAAGCCGGGAAGCTTCAAGGGCCACTCCAGCGGCGTCACAAGGTGGGCGTGAAGGAGGGCCTTGTGTGAGAATCTCCAAATACCTCAAGGAGGCTAGGGCCTTGGGGTGTAAGTCCTTCGACGGCACCGGTGACATTACCGTTGCCGCCGATTGGATAAAGAAGGTGAAGGATGCGGCAAAAGACATGCAAATTTCACCGGACGTGAAGTTGACTGTTGCTTCACGACTGCTTGAGGGGATAGCTTCCACGTGGTGGGAGAGTGTAGAAGGGAAATACCATGGGGAGGTCTCATGGTTAAATTTTGAGCAGGAATTTTATGACCAATACTACACTGATTATGAGAAAATGTCAAGCGTAGGGAGTACACCAACCTCAAGCAGAAAGAGGGTGGTTCTGTAAAACAGCTGAAGCAAGATTTTAGAACCTTGGCTAGGTTTTTGCCAGAATACGCGATCAATGAGGACCGCATGTCAGAGCACTTTTGGGATGCCTTACTCTTAGACATCCGTGATCGGGCCACGTACTCGCGCCACATGACCTTTACCGAGGTGGTAGAGCAGGGCCTTCTTGGGGAGGCTCAATGGAATGAGAGAAAAGAAAGGGACGCCGAAGAGGCGAAAAAGAGAAAATGGCATAGTTCGGGACCGCCCGAGCAAGCACGGAAGGATAAGCACGGCGGAGGTGGTGGTTCGTTCAAATCACCGGCACCACCGACAAAGAAGAACAGGGATGCTCGGTGGCATGCATCCTCCTCCCAAAGGACCGGGCATCGAAAGTGTGCCAATTGTTCGAAAAATCATTTTGGGAAGTGCAATGCACCCCCGAGGTGTTATCAATGTGGGAACATGGGCCACATGAAGGCCAATTGCCCACAACTAGGGGGAGGAGGAGCTCTGGGATCCGGAGGAGGAACCATGACGGGAAGAAACCGTGCGGGACCGTTAAACGGCGGTACAGGAAGAGGCGGCGCATCCATAAGTCATGCCGCGTCCGTAAATCAAGGCGGGACCCAAGCACGAGTGTACGCGATGACCGAGGCGGATGCGCAAGCAAACCCAGACTCCGTTGCAGGTAATACACTTATTTCCATGTATTTTTAGGCTTATTTTGATCATATAAACCGTTGGGGGTTGAGTTCGGGCCACCCCGGGATCAAACGGGGCGAAATTGGGCGAAATCGGGCGAAATCGGGTTGATTTCTGCCAACGCACTCCAGGCTGGGCTGCACGCACGGCCATGCGTTCCCAGTGCGTACCTCCGTGCGTTGGTGGCAGTAGCACCCCGGAAAATTTTCTTACACGCACGACTGTGCGTGTCTGGATGCACGTCGTGCGTACCTCCGTGCGTTCCAGTGCGTTGGTCCGTGCGTTGGGGGCAGTAGCCTCCATTGGGGAGGCAATGTACGCACGACCGTGCGTACCCCCTACGCACGCCGTGCGTGGACCCCTGGCACCCGAAACTTGATTTTTTTGCCCCGTTCTTCTACGTTTGGACCCCCGTTTGATTCCAAACATTAGTATGAACCTAATAACCTCCTAAAGATGTGTAAAAACATTAGAAAAGGTATCTTACATGGTGTATAAATGTAGGAACATTAAAGATCA